CACAGCTGTGCCTACACAATTGTTAATTGAAAATGAGTTCCAAAGCTTTACGCGATTATCACGAAAGCACAGACCACAAAGTCCATTTTGTTCTTGCTGAATTCTAGTGGATTCTCAAGTAAGCAGGATACTTAAAAAACTACAGGGGTTAGAGTACAACGGTTAGAGTAAAGCAATGTATGTATAATAAAATTGAAAATCACACTCTTCTGCTACAAGTTTAGTGCTGCAGGTTTGTGGGTTTAATAATAAGTACACCAGAGCAAAACAGCAGGTGGATAATGAGTGGGAAAACCTGTGGCCCCATTTCATGGGCTGGTGTTAGTCATCATAACAAAACCTGTGTGACATCACAGTTCAGGGCAGGAACAGCAGTGAAGGACAACAAACACTGGGAGGTCAACCACAGGTTTCGGGTCCAAACTTTGCTGACAAAATATTCTCTCTTAATTAACAGTATGGTTCCAATACTGTGAATATAATCCCCAAACAGCCTAGATTGTCATGCAGGCTGATCACGTCCTCTGACCTATTCTTAAAACAATATGCCTGTAACAAAATGGAAGCACATGATAACAGATGGTCCTTGGTTTCTATTATTCTTCCTACGGCAAGCCATGTCACGACCATGCTGCAACCAACACATATTACCACTTTTCTTCAGCTACATTTTAGAGCATTCACCAATGTTTGTCATGCTTGGAAAGCAGGCAAACATGATATTCAGGTTTTACATCACCATGTTTAACATCTCCAAAATAAAATGTATTTCAAGGAACCCACTGTTTCCTTTTAATATGTACTGGTCATTTTTCATACAATCGCAATGTCTTAACCCGTAATAGTCCTCAAAATTTTCATCTGTCGGACAATTAAGGACTGTAGATCATGCTCATCAAAACAGTTAATCCATATGTACAAGTACATGTACATGTATATTGCACTGTATAAGCACAAAAAATACTACCTAATGATACATGTACATACATGTACATCATAATAGTTTCTGGCGTCAACTCTAGCTGACCTCCAGCCCACATCTGGGTCACAGCAGTCTCCTCCCAGACTGCTGCGGGATGCATGCAGCCTGAGACCAGAGTGGGCAGGTGGTGGTGTTAGGTTACTTTCCTGACCTCAGGATCCTTCCCCCCAAGCAGAATCTGATTAGCTTGCAGAACCATCCCCATGAAGGACCCACAGTGACAGAATTTTGAATATCAAACCTTCCAGATATTGTCTGGGTCCATTCTCTCCAATCCCTTCAAGCTGAACAGTTAGGGGTAATAAAAGTCCATGCATTTGTTGCAGCACAGAGGTATAGTAGTGGCAAACATCTGTGAAATCTTCCCAGCTTTGATGGCCGAGGTACACCTTCTCATAGGCATATGGTTTACGACCAACAGATGCCAGACTACATGTGAATCCAATTTCTATGTACATGTGCATAGACAGTAATAATAAATGCTACAACGCTGTCTGCCCACAACACAAAATAGTGTACTTTCTTAATAAATTGTAGTCATAACTGAACATCCCCTGTGACCTCCAACGCTTCAGTAAAGTGTGTTTGGCCACAGGAAAAGTCTAAAATCTATCAAAAAATCTTAAGGTCCACTGCAGGACAAATCCTTGAACCAGTTCCAAACAGTCCTGCTTAATGCACCATGGACCCATTCAACCAGCCCTTGAGCCAGTTTCTGTTATTCCACTCCAACAGTTCCCCTACTGACCATGAATGGGTGGGGCGGAACCAATTCTATTCAAGTCTACCCTCTTCACTTAACAATGGGAAGACCCATATTGCCGTATGGAGGGGGGGAAGTCTAGACAATGTATTGGGGGATCCAATAAGGAGGACCCCCTGCAAGTGAACCATGCGAAGGACTATTAGACACACATGACCTGCGACCAGTCTCAATAGATGCCAGTTTGTGTAGTTGAATTGGAGGCGATTTTGGTAAGAATAGCTGCTCAGTCTCATACCACACCATGGTGGAGGTCAGAGTTCAAGAGACTTGCCAAGTTGGCAGCCAGAGGCACAGAGGAAACTTCCTGTCTGAGTGGAAAGTCTGCCAGTGGTTTTTACATTCCCAAGTTAAACCACTGTCAGCAGTTTACATCCTGCACCCTTCAGAATTGAACATGAAACAATACTTTGCAGGGAACCTACATAATCCTGTATGTCGAAAGAAAAAAATATCTCCTGGGAAATGTTACCGTACAGAACCAATGGACCTTTCATGGATGGGTACTTGTACAGACATGCAACATATGGTGTACATGTACTGTACATGTACACACTTTACCACTGTTGTTAATCTTCAGGTTCGATTATACAATTTACATGCATAATGAGCATGTACTTAAGCAAACAAAATACACTGGACAGCAAAAGAAACTTTCCACTTCTGTCAAAGGCCACACATAAAAATTCACTCCATAGAAATAAACATTTTTTGTACACAGGTATGCTGCAATACCCCTTACTAATCACAAGCCCAAAAGCAAGTAATTATCTTTATAACAAAGAAGAAATTGACATGCGCAACAACTTGGTTAGTGAATCAAAAGTCACAGAATGTAACAGAATGAGCCTTAAGTTTTACGCAGAAATCAATGTCACAGGACGAAATGAAGAAGTCACAATCATTACTTTTCAATACATGTAATGTGTATGCATAGTCAGTAAGGATGGCATCCCTATACAGAAACCACTCATGTACATCATTTTGACAAAACAGGTGTTCACTTTGTCATTGGTTTTTTTTAAATGTTGTCCATTTCATGGGTAATTTTTGCTTGGTGGAGAGTGCTTTTGTGTGTGACTTTTGATTCAGTATATAGGGGAATTAATTAGGCGCTTACATGTTGTTTGAAAATAAACCCAACAGACACATTGTCAATAATCTTTCTAAAATAAATCATAAATTGGCATCCTCATCCTCATATATCACATTACATCACACAGAGGAAAACATTTAAGTCAACAACACTTAGAATTCCTGTTACTAAACAGTAGACCAGTCAACTTCCAACTGGTTTATTTTATCGGATCATGTTGGTTAAAAAAGGGAGGGTCACTATTTTCTGAACTTCAGCTATTTTTAAGCTTTGAGGTTGAGTCGTAATATACAACTAAAACTACACAAAAAATTTAGTACTACGGCCAACTGAACCAGAATACAGGGTACTGTTTGGCCAAACTTTTCAATACTCTTTTTCCCCTCTTTCAAAACACAGAGCTAAATTGTGGTTCACATATCTGGGTTGGGAGTTTCCTCTGAATGCACTGACGCACCCAAGATATGTGTGATTACTACAGAAAGGCCACGCATGACTGAAATCTGCCTGCTATTCTATGCCTGTGTCTCCCCATGAATGGCGGTTCCCATTGTCAGCATGACTGCACGCCAGCTGAGGAAATCCCTAATTCTTTGTTGAATATGCATGGCACAAAATAGTCTAGCCAGAGGTGAAGTGGGCGTATGCCAGATTGCCAGTTGATGTATCTACACAACAGGTACACATGGTACGTACCAGCACCACGGCACTGAGCCGGAATGGTGGAGTGGTCCTCAGGAAATAGATTCAGGAATAATTTTATACAACAAAGTAAACATATGGTCAGTTGGTTACATAATCTTTATGTATTTCAGATGCATCCTATATCTTTTTCTTGTTGGGTTGGGGGTGGAACTAGTTTTGATCCAGGAGGCAGGTGGCCATACACAACTGCTTGAAATACACAGTGAATTGTCCTTATGGCTGCAATGAATTGCTGACCAAGCAGATTCCTCTATTGGCGAACAAAACTAGATCTGCTGAATGCAATGGTGACTTCAGTCAACTGTCTAAAGTGATAACAGTCCGACTAACAAAAGTTTTATTTGCTGTGAAGCTCTGTGGGTCTACTTTGCTTGCAGAACTTTGCTCAATCTCACAAAGTTCCTACGAGAAAACCATGAAAGTGGACAGAACACATCTCCAGGGACATTTGTCAGTGTAGTTACTTTGTCGAAATACATGTTTACTAGACTGTAGACACTTAATAAACTCAGAATTAAAGTAACTTGTTCAGAGTTGTTTTGGAAAAAAATATAATTGTTTACCACTAACACAATGGCCGAGGTACTAAGAACACTTATAACATTAACAAGCATGTGCCACAGAATTGTTTATTTCACCAATGACAACAACACCTTCCATCTGGTTTCATTATCTATGGTATAAAGGGTCAATGACTTTAAGCTGTATCCTCTTGTGTGAAGCTCTTGTACAATGTTTATTCGCTCTTTCCTAACATCACATCTTGGACAATTGGTCAAAGCAAATAAAAATACAATGCAAGATCCAAGGGGTGTGGTACAATCAACTGTAACCCTGGTCGGCCAAGCCCGAATCTCACGCAAAAACTGTTTTTCAATAGATGTATGTGCAAGTGCCACCAACAGTATTTACGATAACATATCTGTTAAATCCACTGTTATTCAAAACCAAATAGGAGTATTTACTGACACACAGGCCTACTTGTGGTCAGATTGGCCAACAAAATGCAAAACTGAACAGTCTGAAAAACATATGAATATAGTCAGTAGGCTTAACTACTGGAAACAAACTTCAACCCCACACAAGACGAACTTGAATAAACACATGCTTCAATCAGATCTAAAAATTATCTAAATCTTGCAATCTTGGTGTTATCTGATGTCAACTGGAAATAAATATGACAGAAGAGGAGGGAGATGAAACAAGTTCCAAGAACTTTAAGCATGAAACCAAACATAATGCTTGTGCAGCAAGACTTGATGGTCCGTCTAGGCGCATGGAACTAACAGGCAGATTAAATATCACCATTTAAATTGCAACATTGACAGATTAAACAAATTGTTTACATATTTACGATGCGGGAAGTGTTAATTGCTTCGCTCGTTATGTACCATATGCCATTGTTCTAGTAAACAGTGGTGGGGAATTATAAAACGAGCAACATGATTTCTTACCACATTATGGAACACATCGGAGTCCAGAATGTACTTGAAATCGCTCTCTTCGCCATCATAGAGGCTGTTTCCACCGAGGAGGTCGTCCATTGCGATGCTGTGCCGCGGTCGTTGGCCGGTCCGGTCCGAAATCGGGGTAAATCTGGTAGGGTTTTGCGACCCCGCCGCCGTATATTTATCGTGTGTCCACCTTCCTGGCTTGCAAATTTTGCAGTGCTGAGCATAAGGGCATGCACATCCTGGCATCGCCTAGCACCGGCACCCGACGTACGTACAGACACATGTGCATGCACATCATCACAGGACTCCACTCATTTATGCAAATTTCGACCCCGGCTGTTTGCACTCGACGCACTGGCATGTGACCTCTTAGGATTGGCACCGCCCTTTGAGCTTGGAAATTGTTTTTTACTGAATTCTTGACCAGGCATGTGTCGAAATTTTTCATACCAACCCATGACGTTTAAAACTAAAAAGGAAACACACACTTATGGTGGCAAAGATATTCTGTGAAATTTCTGTTTTCCCAAATGATAACAACTGAGTTGATGTTTATATGCAAATTACATTTACTGTCCCCCTCTCCTTTTGCCACGTCCTTGGTAACCACGACCAGCTGTAGCCAATAAGCGCCCTTAAAATCTGTCAACTGAATATTAATATACGGGAGCAAAGATCTGACAAATCAACTACCGCGTGTATATAAATCATTACAAGTCATGGATTTTGAAAAGAACTTCCAAACTGATTACAATCGCTCATAAAGTCGTCAACTTATATTACTTTTGAGTTATTTCAGGTGAATGACAAAATTACAACCCCTCGCCCAAAGACCGCATGGCATGTGATACACTTTCAAACGATAGTTAGGAAAGCTGAGACTCTTCACATTAATGTGAAATGAAGATAACAATGACAGGAAAATGTTCAACGCGATCGATAATACATGGAAAATACAATGAAAATATATTGGCACAACTGAAAAAATCACACAGGCAATTCGTTCTCGAAACAAAAGAAAAAAAATGCAGATCCCGAAGGAAAGAAACAAACATAAACAACATGAGTATTACAAGGGAAGTAGCTGCATTACATTTTGTCATGAAGGGATACAACTAAGTGAGGAAAATAACACTTTAACAAGGAGATACTATGTGCATTAAAAAAGTTCACTGCCATGTTGCACGGTTACTGTAATTAAACTCGGGGCGTTTACATTTCTGCCCCTCCCCTGATAATTTCTGTCCCCTACCCCAATAATAATTCCGCTATAGTTTAACAGGTTCATTGAAACCCAGCTAATTTGCTTTCAAAGAGCTCTCTGGAAATGGCGCCCTCTTCAAATATTTCCATCCAGCGTTATAGAGGGCGGTATTGCACAATCACTGAGGAAAGTTCTGGACAGGCAACATGGTTTCTGCTTGATTTGTTTGTGGAAATGACTAGATACTAACCCGTGAAACCTGGTCTGCTATTTTTCTCAAGACTCTTAGAGGGTTCATGCTTGGACTCTGTTTCTGCATCAATTGAAAAAGGAAATCCCAAACACAATGATAAAATTGGAAAATGAATAGCAGAAATGGGTCGGATTCGAACCAGGGTCTATAGATCTTTAGTTCAAATCACTACCAACTAAGCTATCGAAGCGACGTAACGGATTCGCGTTTTTGAAATGTCTTAAATGGTGTATTGCATTGTCCCCTCTTCATTAATCATTTGTCATCCCAGCTACTGAAAAAAAGTAGCGCACCAGGTTTCACGGGCTAGTATTAAGTCGCTTCCTTGATTTGTTTGTACACTATGCTTGGACACCTTAAAGATGTCAGTGTTAAGGACAATTGCAGAAGCTTTAAAAATGCCGTTTTTGATGTGAGATCAAGGGGAAAAGTATAATCATGAGATTTCTAGTGTCATGTGGCGTCCAGCCCCCGTCCACTTTTCAACAATCCACTGAGACATAAAAGGGGAGCTGTGAGTTTTACACGGACCACATGTTAAAGTACAGAATTTTTAGGCATGTTAGGTGAGTTTAATCTCTGATTAGAAAGCGTGGGACCAGTGCATACAAATGCTAAGGGCTTCATGCAGTAATTGGTGATTTGCATAAATGAATATAAAAGTATGGTGTTCGAAAGCCCACAAAATTGCGTTGCGTCATCCCATCGTCCTTCTTGTCGTGCCATCACGTCGTGGCGTCGCCTACTTCCTCATTACCTTTATGCTGTGTTTAATGCGTTGCCTCGTGCCGTCGCGTCGTTCTTGATGCCGTTGCATCGTGCAGGCACGTCTTGCTGTCGTACCATTCTGTCGTGTCTTGCTGTCGTAGCGCCGCGTCGTGCTGTTGGGTCGCCTGTCATATTATGGTTTTTGTACACTGAGTAGGCCGTTGCGTCCTGCCGTCGTACTGTCGCGTCCTGATATAGACGTCTCATCGCATCGTTAACGTTGTTGTGTCGTACTGTCGTGTCATCGTCCGTCGTCTCCGGCTGTTTTTAAAAATGGCTGGTGATTATTATGGCCCACAGAAGGTGTATGCAAAAAGTCCTGGAAAAAATAATGTGCGTGCGTGCATAAGACGCGAAAGATGTGTTCATCATAGCTCCGTCTCTTAAGGTGCCCCCTATTTCTAATATAAAGGCGATGGCAACAGCACGATGCGACGGCACAACGAAACAGTAGATGGCACGACGCGACACCACAGCACAACGAGACGGTACGATGCGATGGCAAGACGGGACGACACGACGCAACGGCATAACGCAGTGCATTAAACACATCATAAAAGTAATGAGGAACACAGCATAAACGTGATGAGAAAAGAGGCGACGCCACGGTACGACGCGACGAAGCTGTCGTGGCGTTGCGTCAGGGCAACAGAACGAGGCAACCCACTTTTGTCCTCCACAGAACACCGTATCACAGCGTTTTCGGATGAGAAAATTATTTTAAGAACTATCCCCAACATGTGCATAAGTCCAAGCATTAATCGGTCAAAGGGGCATGGGTGGTCTAGCTGTCCCAACCTGAATCACGTCCACACAGCAACCTCTGGATCACTATACTTCCAGAATTTACCAGGATCATTGTCTTCTCCAAGAGCGTAACTGACCTCAACGACTAGCTCATGATTTGAGTGCCATTGTTGGGGAGAAAAGAACTAGAAAACTGACTCATCATGATATGCTTACGCTTTTGCACGCACATTTTATTGGTACATTGTAGGCCCTAAAGGCTACTAACCACTACCAATGATCTAAAACTTGACACAGCTATTCGGAATCTTTCAAAACAACTGTACGGTAGATACGGATACACAAACGGCATTAATGCGGCTCGTCATGATTGTATATGCGATAAAAAGGGAAACGTAAAATGAAATTCTACTATTCAAAGAGATCGCCAACTACATAATGTGCTATACCGGTACATAATCCATCAGAATTCAATTATATTACTTGAAGACAAAGGTAATCCTTATTTTAAAGAAAACTAGCACAGAATTATGCTTTAATAACCGTCTCAGATCTATCTACTACAAAAATGGATAAATGTTGGAGCTGAGAAAAGCCATCAAACATAAAACCTGTCTCCTGCAAAAACTGGCGTAAACGTGGAGTTAATGTCACACCCCCAGTTTCCATAATACACAGAGAGTAGCAATATAACACCAGAGTTCTGCAGTGTGATATTAGGTAATTTCACAGCATTGCTATGTCAGTTCCCCCTTCTCTCTCCAACCTACTTTTGACACAACGTCCATGGTCAATAATCACTGGTGGCAAAAGTGGGGGAATCGCCCAGGCAGGTCCTTCAATGCCCATATCTGATGATGTCACACATCCCCGAATTTCGAAAATTGCTACTGCTGTTGTGCATAATCCACTTCTGTTATACCCAGGGCAGGGTCAGGGGCGGAAACAAGGAGCCATGAACCCCCCCCCCAAAAAAAAAGGAGGACAGGAAATCTTGAAAAAATGAGAAAAGGCCTTTCCCTTGGCTCTAACATCGTTTAAAAGCCCCTAAATGTATATATTCTCATCCTTTCGAAAAGCCATGATAAAGATTTTAATGTTATTTTGCCTTCCGAAATTCCTTATGCCCCATTCGCCCCAAAAATTGGTTCTGAATCTGCTCTTGGTTGTACTTCATTAAAAATGGCACTATATTTAATTGTTATTGCAATTTACAAGCAAACTAGATACCAGCCACTAACGTAACTACTGAAACTTTACTAAGCCGGCCAGTTATACTAATGAGTAGTGCATTGTTGTACCTTTCATATGTTGTAGACAGTATCAATTTGAACATGGAGCTATTATACACAAGGAGTAGGCAAATACAGAGATCAAAAGGGTCAATGGTGGCCACCGCAAGCACTGCACGTGTTGCAAGGACAAAACAAATAACGAACGGCTTGCGGGCTATAAGGATTACTTGGAGTTGCATTTGCAAATGATTGTGGGAACCGCGCATGCATGCCCGTAAACTTCCACACGTTCAACATGGCCGCCATCGAGACGGAATCCACCGTCATCGGAGACTTAAATTTCGATAATTTGAGTGATTGTTCTGATATTCCAAAAATAAAGACAACTTGGTTACGTCTTTACACCCTCAAAACGTCTCTCTCAACAATAAACAGAATTACTGACAAACACAAATTCTCCAAAAAAATACGTGACAAGAAAACTGAAAGAATGTAGCTGGTCCAGAGGAAATAAAAAAAACACACCAAAAAATGGGAAAACTCGTTACCCTTTGTGTCGTTGGCAACAACTGGCTCTGTATGAAACCTCATCACGTTGTCAAATGCTTTCCTGCGGCACGTTTCCACCTTCTTTCAACCATAGGAATCACTAGGATTACGACTTATCATAGAAATATCGCAGTTAATATTTTGGATATTTGTTCTCTACCGCCAGAACCGCAAAATGTCATAACTGACTTTAAAACACGTCCAACTTTTACCAAATAGCCACAGCCGATTCAGAATTTTCGAGCGCATCTGCGGGGATCTCTTGCTGACTCCTAAGGACTACTGAACTGCGTATCTTCTTCTTGTATCTTCTCCACCATTTATTTACACCTACTCCAGTATGCGGTGGCGATCACTGTGTACAAAGAATATCTAGGATCGTCAACACTGGGGCCAGAAACCGCGCGTTGTCTATGGAGCTGGCCAGAGCGGGTAATCGGGTTACGGTCTGTGGGGACTTCGTACTCACTCCTTGTGTTTAATATCTCCATGTTTTGAACGATTATCTTCATCATTCTGCACCAGAGGCAATGAACTTGAGTTAAATTTTGATAGGAACATTTTGATTATTTAGTTTACATTTGCAAGCAAACCAAATCTCACAATAATTGATATGCGTACCAACGTTTGGAAAAGCCAAGCTAGTTTTCCCTTCTCTCGTCTTTCAGAAAGAGAGCAGATAATGTACAGTTAAGTTCAGCATAAATCGATCAGGAGGTCTAGATAATTATGTCAAATGAAATCAACTCTGGCTAAATATAACACAACTAGCTACAAGCATTTTGAGAGACACGTGTAATAGACATGTAATAAACGTGTAAATTTGTTGTCACTAGAATATCGTGACGTTGTTCGTCAATAGTTATAGCAAAGCCACGCATCATACAATGTTTATGAGCAACTTTATAAAACTCAGCTTGTCACAAGCAGGCACAATGCTCTAGCTCGAGCATGGATGATCTCACACGGCGGTAAGAATCCCACAAACTGACTGTGGCCCGGCGGTACCATCCCACAACCTGACTGTGGCCCCGGCGGTACCATCCCACAAACTGATTGTGGCCCCGGAGGCAGGATCCCACAAACTGACTGCGGCCCCGGAGGCACGATCCCACAAACTGACTGCGGCCCCGGCGGTACGATCCCACAAACTGACTGTGGCCCCGGCGTACCATCCCACA